AAAAAAACAGAAGTTTAACAAATCCATGATAATATTAAAATATTAGAGTCCAATGTGCACATTTATTAGTTTTTACTTAAAATCAAGACGCGCCCGAGTGAGACAACATTCTTTCTAAAAAAATAAATAATATAGTAGGGCTACAACGACTGATTAGTGTGATTACTGATGAACCCATTGATCCATCCACTGGTCCTTCTGTCTTTCAGCCAAAAGAAGAGATGGTGTTTAATGGAAAGTACAAGACAGGAGAACAGATCCTGCGTCTGGCCAATGAACGCTTCGCCGTCCCCGAGATGCTCTTCCACCCGTCGGACATCGGCATCCAGGAGATGGGAATCCCCGAGGCCATCGTCGACTCCATCCAGTCCCTGCCGGAAGGTCGGCCGCACACAAAACAAACACTGATTTACCAGAGTTTCAGATAAAGTCTCTTATGTTTTCATTTCAAGTCCCAGGACAGATGAAAAACAAGTAGAAAAAAGTGAATCCACATCTGCATGGAGATAAATTCAGTCACTAACAATAAATCAGAGCAGCCACAATGAGGAGCTTAAACTCAAACTAGTCAACAGACTTCATCACAGCATGAGGAACAAGTACAACAGTCATAAACAACAGTGGATAAACAGTTCGACTACCTGTGTAATATAAATGTTCATCAGTACTTTCCCTCTGCTAACGGGTCCCTCTGCCTTCAGAGATGCAGCCCCACTTCTACCAGAACATCGTCCTGACCGGAGGGAACTCTCTGTTTCCGGGCTTCAGGGAGCGTCTGGAGGCGGAGCTTCGATCGCTGGCCCCCGCCCACCTCCCCGTGTCGGTGCTGCTCCCTCCCAAGTAAGTGAAGCTAAACCGGGAAACCTCAGTCTGACGTCGGAAGACATCTCTGAAGAATTAAGTGAATTAAACTGAAGGCCTGCAGCTGTTTATTAGGGACTTTAATGTACTGACATTTATATACATTTTTTTCCAGGACTGTCCAGCTGCATATCACAATAACTCGTAGTAATTTAAACTACATGTATGCTGCATTCTCTATGGGACAGTTTTGTCTGTCGTTGTAGCTCTGAGATGTTAAAGCTGGAATTATTTGCACTTCATACAGAAGCACAGATCCTCCAGACAACACTGTCCCAGAAAGATGTAAAACGACCACAAAGAGACAAAAACAAACAGGAAAAGATGCGTAGCTACCACACATACACTTAAAATGACCAGAAAGAGACTTAAAATTAATTGAATGACTAAGAACAAACAGAAAGACACACTCAACGAACAGAAAGACACACTCAACGAACAGAAAGAGACTTAAAACGACAGACAGAGATTTCAAACAAACTGAAAGACTTGAAACAAACAGAAGGGACAAAATGAACTCAAAGAGACTTAAAACAAGCAGAAAGACATGTTAAACGAACACAAGGAGACACTAAACAAACAGAAAGAGACGCTAAACGAACAGAAAGACACTTAAATTAACAGAAAGTAACTCAAAACGAACTGAAAGAGACCTAAAATTAATCGAAAGACTTAAAATAAACAGAAAGAGACTTAAAACGAACAAAAAGCAACTCAAAACAAAGTGTAGGAGACTTAAAACGAACAGAAAGAGACACAGAATGAACTGAAAGACTCAAAACCAACTAAAAGAGTCCTAAAATAACCTGAAAGAGACTTAAAACAAAGTGTAAGAGACTTAAAATAAACTGAACGAGACACAAATTAAATTGAAAGACATGCAAAATGACCACAAAGACGCTCAAGAAATACCACAAAGAGATGCAAAGCAAATGCAAAGAGACGACAAATGGCCACACAGTGATGCAAAGTGACACAAAGCGACTGTTAAGTGACTAGAAAAGATGAAAAACAACAACAGAGAAACACAAAATGACCACAAACAGACAAACCCCCCACAATGAACAGCTTTTTGTTTTCTCTCTGAAGCCTTTGTGATGGAGCTGAATGCCTTCAAAGACACCTCCAGATTCTCAGCCTGAGTGGAAGCTACTGAAGACAGCCTCCCATCGATGTCCTGCAGCCGATAGCGGTTTAAACCTGTGTGTCCTGTCCTGTCTTTCAGTCCGGTGTGTTATTCGTGGGAAGGAGGGAAGCTTCTGGCCCACAACCCCGACTACGACGAGATGGTGGTGACTCGGGAGGACTACGAGGAGAACGGACACTGCATCTGTGAAGACAAGTTTGATATCTGACTGAGCTGAAGCTGAACTGGATCCGTCTGTTCTGGATTCAACACGGACTCAAACAAGCGAAATATGACGTTCCTTCTGCAGCACTTGGATTTTATTTTAGTGTCACCATGTGCTGTTAAATGGTGTAAACAGTGTTGGACTAATTACACTGTGACACCACATCCAACCAGACTACAGACTTCTTTACCTTTTGTTTATATTTTCGTCACATGCCTACTTTTTCTGTCTTCAACAAGCGTAGAGGAAACTTTCTGAAATCCAGGAAGAACCTGAAGTGATTTAGATTCAAAGAAAGATTTTGAGACGTCTTTTTTTACGTAATAATAAAGACAAAAGAGGTAAATGTATGTTATTTTTTTATTTCACATTGTTTTTTTATTGAGTCTTTTGAAGTGAAGAGCTCATAGATGATGACAAGAAACCTTCATCATCATCATCATCATCATCATCATCACAGTGTTACAGACGTAGACAACACACGACATGATGTGGAAAACACAATAAAACAATTTTTTGTGTCTCTTTATAGTTTTGTTTCCTTCTGTGATTCTTTATTTTTTTTTTATCTCTGTGACTTTTTTGGGTCAGTTTGTGGCTGTTTTGTGCCTCTTTCTGGTGGTTTTATGTCTCTGTGGATGATTTTATGTCTGTTTCTGGTTGCTTTGTTTCTCCGGTTGTTTTGTTGAGGCTATTTTCACCGTTTTTTATTTACAGTCTACATTTACAGACTGTGTATAATAATTGTACCGTATTCTGGGGAAAACTGCGTACGGTTGTCAAAGTGACAGGCAAATAATTTCTTGATCCAGTTTGGTTGATATTTGCATCTTTAAAGATAATTTTAAAAGTTTGTCTTGTCAGCTGTTGAAGTATAAGATAGAAAATACGTTATTTGAAAACCTACCCTGCAAAGTTCCCTCTGTGTCACTGCTCAGGATCTAGATGGATAAACATCTAACTTGATTTTAACCTCCTTTCAGACTTACTTCCTGTTTCTGGAAGAACTAGAGGAAATACCTCAAGGTAACAGGGAGAAACTAATTACTATCCTTTACTTTCTTAACCCCAAACAAAGACTTTCTTGCCTTTTAACATTTCCTTTAAAATTGACAAATTAAATTGAATTCATGGCACAATTCAAACAGGATCAAAATATTAAGAAAGAAAGAAGCTTGTCAGAGCTGGATTTCCAAGATAACATCTGTCTACAGCTGCTTTCATCAGGATCCAACAATCAGAACACGCAAATATGCAGAACTTTATGTCTGTGCTGACAGTGAAGACTTGTTTTAGTGAAGCTTTAACGGTTCTTGAAACCAGATAATTAGGAACAAAGAAATATTTGCAGTTTCTATCATAATCAGACCTGACATTTAGATGATTTAGACAATAATACAGTATAATATGATTGTAATATTGTTATTTAGATTGTAATTAACATGATTTATGGATGGGATTTATATGTAAAATAAAGAAATAAACTATTTTATTTATCCTATTGGCTTTAATGTTTAAAATATGTTAAAAAATCATTTTAAAAAATCATTTTGATGCATTACAGTCAATGTAGGAGCTGTAGTCACTATTTAAAAGTGGAAAACTGCATTATGGGAGTTTGATTGAACCTTTAAAGAGATTTAAACCACAATTTATTTTTTAAAAAAAAGGATATTAACAGTTAAATGCTGACAAGTTGAGACATTAATAGTAAATTCATATATTAATATTTATTGAGAGGGATTTTTTTTTTTTTAATCTGTAATTCCTCAGCCTATGCAATCATGAAAAAGTTAGAAATCAAGAACAAATACACACACAAAAAAATATGTTATTTACTTTTTTATTTTTGTAGTTAATTTTGGCCGCAGTAATAAACTGTGCTGAGCTTTAAACCGGAGCTTCTCGGTAGGTTGTGGCGGGAATCCAGCCGCGATTCTACGAGCTAACCAGCAGGTTAGTTGTGTTGTACCTGTTAAGGTCTGCTAATTCAATAAATTAGATATAGTAGAGTCAGAAGAAGTACGTTTAGGTTTAAATCTGAATTACAACCGAGTTTTGTGAGTTTTTAGACGAAACAGCCGCCATTTACTGTGATTCGACTGGCTAGCAGCTACAGCTAATATTAGCGTTAGCTGAACGTCAGCCGCCGCCATTGACAATGACTTTAACCTTTAGCAGCTACAGCTAATATGAGCGTTAGCTGAACGTCAGCCGCCGCCATTAACAATGACTTTAACCTTTAGCAGCTACAGCTAATATTAGCATTAGCTCGTCGTTAGCCGCCGCCATTTTGTCGTGTCGTGTTTTGTGGAGTGCGTTAGCAAGCTAACCTCTTTTATGCCAACAGAACTTTCAGCAAGAATGGCGACAGGAAGGAAACAGGTAAAGAAGAAACTCCTGGAGGAGAAATCTAATCAAGACGTTTATGATTTTACTGCAGAGGTTGAAAAGAAGGATCTAAGTGGTTCAGAGGACGAGGCCAGAGGAGGTAAGCAAGCTAATGTTAGCCAGGTAGGGCCAGTGGTGATCATTGTTAATCCACTGTGGTAGGCCAGATTTGCTGTTTATCTTCCAAAAGTAAAAGCAGATGTACAGTATGTGGCAGAAGTATTTACAATATTAGTTAAATATCAAATAATTCAGAATTGTATAGCAAGTTTATGCAGAAAATATCACTCCACATTCATATTTGCACCTTTATTTGTTATATATTGTTGATATTGTTCAGCTTGAAAGATACCAGATTTCTGCAGAGATGTTCTGCCGTTCTTTAGAAGTTATTTTTCCTTTACCCTTTTTCATTAAAATACTCCATAGTTCTTTTAGTTTCAGCTCAGACAACATGCTTGGCCAGGTCATAGCTTCCACTTTTTCTCTTCTTTAGAAACTCATGTTTGATTGATTGATTGATTTTTTAAATATAGTATATTCCTTTTCTGCCAAACCTCTGCAGACTGGGAGTCATCTTGACAGCCAGTATTCTGGTATACATATATACAAGCATTTATAGTGTTATATAGTTTCCCAACACCTCTTGCACTCATTCGGCCTCATATCATCGCTCTGCTTCACCGTCAGGACTACACACTCACTGTGGTTCTTCTGATCATCTTCACACCTGCTGTTTCTCCCTTTGTGTTTAATCCTAGCACAGTAAGGAAGAGTTTAAAAAGCTAACACAGAACTGCTTTTAGAGATATTAGCTTTAAATTTCGATGACTATTGCTGTTCCAGATGAAACACCAATACTGGAAAAACTGACGAAAAAGAGATCTGCAGCTGACTTTGAAGAGCAGGGAGCAACCTGTGCTGTGGGGTACTGCTTATTTTATTATTATTGTTCACTATTTTTGACGACAAGGTGGAAGAAAATAAAGAAAACTACCTTATATAAAACTCCACAAACGCTCAAATGTCAGGTTACTGTCATGTGTGACAAAGAAAAGCATCAAACCATTGTATGGTAGAACCTCAAAAGATCATTCTGCTGTCAACAGAGTTTAATTTTCTGTTAAAAGACTACAATATGTATTACTGCTTTATTTAACTGTACAGACATTGTGCCCTTGATGTGCAGTTCATAGAGTAACTTGTGTCTTTTCACACATGCAGAAATGAGGTTCAGTCTATGTTGGAGAAATTTGGAGGTAAGCAGCCTTTTTTATTTTATTTCCTCTGAAGAAATAAATAAGCTGTTAGTTCCTGTAAAGTTGTTTATGTCAGGATTTAACCTACATTTGAGCACATTGATCTTGCCTTAAATTTTTAATCTTTTTTACATGTCATGCCACAAAACTGTGCAGTGATCTTTAATCAGCACATTAATGATCGATCGTGACTGTATCCAGCTCTGCTGTTTATCGTTTCGTGTTATTTCTGCATCCAGCGGACATCAGCAAGGTGTTGCAGGGGAAGAGGAAACGTCTGGAGTGTCTGACGAAGAACTACATGAAGGGAAGCCAACACAAACTGGAGCAGCTGTGGAACACCCACCACGGCCAGAGGTTTGTCCTTCTGCTTCCTCAGAGAAAACCTGATCAAACTAGTGACTGATTTCATCTTTGAGGAGTGAGAGAGTAAACTAAGTGCAACCATTCCTCGACAGACTAGACAGTCTCCATTAGTTCTGTTGTAAAGCTTGCACTGATGCATGTTAGATAATGAAAGAAAAAAAGAAATTTGCTTTGCGTTCTGCAGTGGAAACGTGTTTTTATGCTGAACCAGTGTGTTTGTGTTTGCAGACAGAAGATAACTCAGCAGTACTCTGAGCAGGTGTCGACAGCGCTGCAGCAGTGGGAGGCTGAAGCCCTGCGAGCTGAAGAGCAGGAGGAGAAGATCAACGTCAGTTAGCTCTGATGTTTGGTTAAATAGAGCCATTTTAACATTTATTATCCAGACTGGAAATGTGTGGCAGATATCCGTAATTCAGGTCTTCCCTGTCAAATAGAACATTTCAGAGATCCACACTGTCGTTGTTCCAGGACATGTTTGTCAGTACAGATATCTACAGCTCACATGCTGTAGTTCATTATATTCTACACAGTTTTGCACACATTATTTGTTCAGTGACCGTATGAAAGCAAAAATCTAACAGTGCTCTTCGTTTTTACAGTTTCTGCCCTTGACAAATGTTGTCATTTTCATGTTTTATTTATTTATTTAAAGCAAACACACCTTTCAAACCTGCTGGCATAGTTTTTTATAGTTTTTATTTACCCCACAGTCAATGCTTTTTCATTCCGATTATAATTTTTAGCAGCATTGAACTGTTACTGTATGAATCATAAGGGGTGATCTGACTTCGTGTCACGATGCATCTTTTAATTTTTCCCACATCTTTCAGCAAACAGCAGGACACGAGGGATTATGTGTGTTTCTGTACTAATTATGTGATGTTCTGGTGCATTAACTAGACGTACAGCAAACTGAACCATAAAGTAAAATGCTCTTATGAATGTAATCCCCCCAGATTCCCTCAGATTAACCTCTGTTAGAGTGTTTAGTGTGGAGCCTGTTGGTGCTACTCTCTGATCTTTGTGTCCTCAGAATCTGTTCCGGCAGCATCAGAAAATCCTGCAGCAGGTCAGAGTCACTCAGAAGCAGAAGCTGAAAACCGTCAAAGAGCTTTACGAGCAGCTGGTGAAGGTGAGACCTGCGAAAACCTGAGCGAATGCAGAGCAACAGCGACCTGCAGAGCTGTCGTCCTGTTTACAGAAACTAGCTGTTTGGTTTGTCACCACTGACGCTGCAGCTTTCCTCTCAATCTTTATGCACAGTGACAGATTGACTTTTATCCTGCATGGAGAACTTTTTATTGCCACCTAAAGAGGTTTTGCCGGCAACAAAATGATTAAAAAAACGAGAATTCTAAAGACAGTATTATTTTCTAACCTGTTTTGTTAAGTGGGGCTTCATTTACTTGGCATAACGAACATTTTTGTTTATCAAATGCTTCAGAAATATCAGGAAAATGCAGACACAGACACATTGCAAAGTTACTTTTTGACGAATTGCGCTCACTGCTGGTCTTTGTCATCCTGCAAAGGCTGATTCTAGACCAGGAAAAACCCTGACAGACAACATCAGGGGTTGTTTTCATCCTTCACATGAACCAACTTGATGTCATTTACTGTTGTTAACTCTCACACTCGTCAAAGTTGCTCCTTACTTGTTGTTTTATGGAGAGAGAGCTTTGCTGCACTGAAGTCTGACAGACATACAGCACAACATGTAGAAAGTTAAGTAAGGATGCTTTCAAAAATACAGACATGGGTTGATGTTTGGACTTAGATGCCTCCTGATAGTTAAAATCCAAACATCTAAAGTGTCTAAAACTTTTGTGTGCAGTTCTGTAGATTTGTAGAATCCTTCAGAGCACCCAACACTCTTTCTTAAAGCTGTAGATCATCAGGAAACTCTTCTAGCAGAGTGTAACGCTTGCTGCATGACAAATATTGTGGATGAAGACGGTTTGTGTTTAAAGCGACGCCTGAACGTGTAAATGTGTTTCCTCCAGAACATGGAGGAGATGGAGAAGAGCCAGGAGGCTTTCCTGCAGGGGGCGCAACAGGAGCTGAAGAAGGAGATGGCTACGCTGCAGAAGAAGATCCTCATGGACACGGTGAGTTCAGCTTGTCGTTCACAGGTGACACAAAGGAATCCGGTGAATTTCACCAGGCAGCCTGAGTAGTTAGTAAACTGAATTTATGCCTCATTGAAGAGGGAGTAATTTAGAATTTATTTGATCAGGACAATGCAGAGTAGAATGGTTCCAATACAGAGCATGAAACTCGTGACGCTGAGTCAAAAATTTCACAGATAGCATTTAAAATATCTGTAGTTTATGATAAAAAGGTTCAGAGATGGTCGAGCAGAAGGTCTCTGATGATTTGAGATGGAACAATCCAGGTGTGTCCTCATAGCTCAGATTGGATGTTTGGACTTCCCTGCTGCAGGATAAGTTCTAAACCAAGGATCTCCAACTCCGGTCCTCGTGAGCTACTGTCCTGCAGGTGTTCGATGTTTCCATACTGCAACACACCTGATTCAAATTAATGGATCTCCAACAGCTTGTTGTCAAGTTCTACACAAGTCTGTTAATGATCCATTAATCTGAGTCCGGTGTGTTGAAGTACGGAAACGTCTAAAACCTGCAGGACAGTAGCTCACCAGGACCGGAGCTGGAGATCCTTGTTCTAAACCAATCAGACGCCTCCCTGATGTGACGGCGTTGTGCTGTCTTCTAAAGTGTGACAACAAATTAAAGTGTGTCCCAAAGTGCTGCAGTAACAGTAAACAAACGTGATAAACAACAACAGAATCTGTGTCGTTGTGTTTCCACAGCAACAGCAGGAAATGGCCACCGTCCGCAAGTCGCTGCACTCCATGCTGTTCTAGCCCGCTGTTACCACGGCGACGGTTCCTGTGTTCAGGATGCGTTCTGGGTTGGTGTTGCTATGGTTACTGTATGGGTTGTCATGGTTACACACTGTTAGCTTTATGTCCACGTGTCACGTTAACATCGAGTGTTTCTGCTTTTTTACTTGTTCCTGTTATTTAATGGTTTTTATAGATGAGTTACGATTTATTTCAGTGTAAAGTCAGAATAGAAACAAACGTCTCTGTTACAGACGTTTTGTATGAAATGTATTTTAAGATGACTTTAGTTAAAGAGCTGAGGATCAAAAACTCACATTAAAACAACTTTAACCTGGAGAATTATCTCAACCTTCTGTGAGAGTAAAAAAATAAACGTGTTTGTACAGTTGAGTTTGTTGCAACGTGTCCCAGTGTAAAAGTCGGTTTATGTATCACCCCACACAGCATACAGTATCGTTAGTACAGCTCAGTTCTCAGAGGTGCATTTAAAGGCTTTTATTGTCAGATGCAGCAATAACAAGTTATCAGTGCATTAATTCTTAGTTCTGTGTCTCCACCTAGTGCCACATTTACCCTGTTAACAAAATAATACAGTGATTCAGACACACCTGCCTCTACTCACACGTACTCGGGTAACACATATAAATGAACAGAAACAGTTCAGAAAGATGATGTGCAGGAAACACAGTTTATTAAAAAAAGCATGTGCAGTATTTATGGTGCAGAAAAGTTAAGACGTGCTCATATGTAAGAAGGTAGAGGATGTTGAACAAACAAAGGGCAGAAGAGATGGTGTGAAAGAACAGGCGCTGTGTTTTATGGTGCAAAATATACTGTAGTGATGATCATAGACTATATAAAAGATGGACGTAGCAACCGGCCCTGAAAAATGAAG